TGTATAACATAGATGCCTTCAATCAACTATTTTTAGGAGAGGTTCTGCTTTTCCTAGTATGTTAATACTATTATTATGAATAAATATTGAATTTATTCATAGTTTATTAATGTTGTATTTGATTGTTGGTGTTCTAATTTCTTAGTTTCTCTTGTTGTATTATTGTACTAAATTCTAGTATTATGTTAACTACCTTAAATTTGTGAAATAAAGTCCCCTTGATCAGGACACTTTTGAAACATAATGTTACAATCAGTAGAGTCTTTTTCTTCTGAGGTTTTACACTTGTATTCATAATTAAAACTGACCTATAATTTTACTGTCATATATTGTTCTTATATAGTTTTTGAGTCAAGAACGTATTAGCTTCACAATTTCCCCCTTCAGCTCTGCAGTTGTCTGCATTAGCTATATATAATTTGATTCTTATAAATTTGGTAAAACTTAAGAAGTCATTTGGGATCAGTGACTATTTGAGGGTTAATGTTTCAGTGCAAATTTAATTACTTAAAAGGTACAATTTAATTTAGGTTTTCTATATTATTTTCACTCATTTTTGATCATTTATATTCTTTTTAAAAAATTTTATTTAGTTATTGTTCAAGTACAGTTTTCTGTCTATTTCTCCCATCCCAGCCCCCCACCCCCGCCTCGTGCTCCCCACCTCCCTCCCATTCCCTGTGTCTTTTATACTTGTTCCTCTAAATCCCTCCCCTTTTTTCCCCTTAAATTCCCTTCCCTCTCCCCTCTGGTCACTGCCCCCTTGTTCTCTATTTCAGTGTCTTTGTTTTTATTCTGCTTGCTTGTTTGTTTTGTTGTTTAGCTTCCTGTTAAAGGTGAGATCATATGGTATTTGTCTTTCAACACCTGGCTTATTTCATTCAGCATAATGCTTTCCAGTTCCATCCATGCTGTTGCAAAGGGTAGTAGCTCCTTCTAATAATTTATATTCTTTAAAGAGTAAGTATTTCATGTTGTAGAAATAAAACTAGTGCTACAAGGTTTTGTTTTACGTCTTTACTGCATCTGCACGTATGTCCTCTCCTATGTTTGTTGCATTTTCTTCTCATCAATCTTGCCCACGTTTTGCCTACTTTATAAATTTTATTTAAAGTCACCACCTTTAAGGTTTTTAATCCTTTTTATTTTATTTTTTTATTTCATTGTATTCTATAAAAACTTTTTTATTTTGTTCTACTTGTTATTTTTAACTTCATAAATAATATACTCATCTTATTAATTTTCAACCTTTAATTTCTAATACATATGTTATTCCTTAGTATGTCTTTGAGTGAGTATCTGTGAATGGAAACTCTTAGAGTCTGTCTGAAGACAAACTCTATTTCACCCTGGTTCTTGAGTGCCAGTCAGCTGGGTATAGAAGTTAGGTTGACGATAAGCTCCCTTGAACACTTCAATGAAATTATTCCATAATCTACTGGCCTCTTCTGCTGAGGAGAAGTCTGTTTTCATTCTAATTGCTGTCCCTTTGCAGGCCTCTTGTTTTAGAAATTTGCTTGTCTTTTGGTAGTCTGCAGTTTCACTATAATTCTTGTAGGTTTAGATTCTTTTTTATTTATTGTTTTTGAAATTCATTTAGCTTTTCTAGATCTAGAGTACTAACTCTGGAAAAAATTTCAAGTGTTTTCCTTTTTAATATTGCTTTCTTATATACCCTAAAGCTCATCATCTCTCAGCTTTTTAGTATCATCACTCTGCTTCTCTCTCTCTCATGCACCTCAGGTCTCTTCTACCTGCTCTAACAATCTCATCCACAAGTCAACCTGTCCTGCTGTCTCCCATCTTTTATTTTCAGAAAATCCTTTCTTGACCCCATATCTACCTGGAGCTACCTTGTTGCCGTGCTGGATATTACAGCCAAACTTGATGAATTTGCCTTCACATTTCTCCATCCCATACCTCCCGTGTAGTCCTCAGTTCACTTGAGTATGACTTCTGTCTTCACCAATCCAAAGAGATTGCTGTTGTCAAAGCTGCTAATGACTTCCGTGTGTCTGCATCAATATTCAGTCCGCATTTAACTTGACCTCTTTCCATTCAATATGGTTGACCACTTCTTCCCTAAAACTCTTCACCTCTTGGCTTCTGAAACACTTTATTTTCTTGGTTTTCTCTTAGTGTTGCAGCACCAAGGGCCTAGGCCCTGTTTTCTTTGTTTTATTCTCTGTATCCCTAATGGTTTTTTCCATTTGCATGATTTTAAATACATTTATTTGTCAGGACAGCCAAAAAACACCCTCACGCCTCCTCTGAACTATCAAATTATGTGTGAGTTTTTGCTTAACCCAAACACTTGGAATATCAGTGGCATATAACCTTAAACTGTTCAACGCTGAACTTCTGAATTTTCTTCTTCCTCAAAGAGTGTTTTCCCGTCCAGGCTGGTATGGTTCAGGAAACTGAGTCAAAGGGTCACTGGTTCAATTTCCAGTCAGGGCACATTCCTGGGTGGTGGGCCAGGTCCCCCATAGAGGGCACATGAGAGTCAATCACACATCGATGTTTCCCTCTCTTTCTCCTTCCCTTTCCCTCTCTCCACAAATAACTAAATAAGATCTTTAAAAAAAAGAGTATCTTCCCTATTTCCACAAATGTCATCACCACCCACCTAGTTTCTAACACTAGAATCTGGTTATCTTTCTTAATTCTTCTTCTCTCCCTCAAAGACCCACACTTGTTCTATTACGGAGTCCTGTAAATTCTATCCTCCAGGTATGTCTCAAGTCCATCTGCCTCCACATCCTGATCTTGGCCTCTATCATTTCTCAAATACAAACTACCACCTAGCTTCTGAATATCTTCCACTATTAACCCTCTCCCATACATTTTAACACCGCGGATTAAAATATCATTTGTTAAAACTCATCTTTCTGCTGATAGTTCTTCAAACACTTCCTTTTGGAACTGGATTAAAACCAAATTCACGCTCATTAATAAAGCCTTCATGGCCCTTTCCTACTTTTGCCTTTATCCCAGTTCTGCTGCCCCTCACTCTGGTGTTCTGGCCACCTCGGCCTTCCCCTTCTGCAGTCAAACCCAGCTCTTTTGCTTCCGCGGGCCCTCTAGAGATTCCTTCTGCCTGGAATGCTCCCCCTCCTCACAGGACGGGCTCCTTCCCTTCCTTTGAGTAACTGGAGGTCCCCTTCCAAGGGACATTCTTCCAGATCATCCTGGATGACACTGGGCTTCTCTTAGTCTCTGTCTCATACCAGCCTCATTTTCCCTCTTTGACAATCCTTCTCATACCTCTCTTTGTGGGGGAGGGATTATATTACTTTACATATTATTTAATCGATTGTATAATTTGGATAGCATATTAACAATAAATATGGTTACCCAGCCATCTCTTTAGCTCATTTCTAGTAAAACACTAAGAAATCTCTGATTGCTGGATTTAGGAAGTGTTCACCTGTCAACAGGACACTTTACCTAGAAATTCTTTTCAGATCAGATTTCATCCGAGGGGGCCCCTGCGTGGATTAGAATCACGTCAGTTGGATCCGTGACACGCAGACGCTGCCTGGGATGGGTTCCCTGCGCTCCTCCAAGAAGTGCTTTCTCACTGTGTCATTTCCTCGCAGTGCGATTCTCCATCTTAGTAAAATCAATTCTGAGATGTTTTTCTCCCCATCGATTTTCAAAGCACAAGTAGTATAATGAGCAGTGTGCATGTGATAAACTGAAATACCAAAAGGCTGTTATAACTTGGTTTTACTGCATAGAAACTATGGTCGTAAAGTGCTATTTTAGATTTATGAACTAGCTTACTTTCCCTGCCTTTACAAATCTGTAAGTTCCATTAAAGGGGCACTAAGTCCATTTTATTTATTACTGTATATGTACCCAATTGCTAGCATGTATAAATAAATAAAGATTTCAGAGTGATTTTTTTTAAGTACAGTTCTGATGAGCATCTTCTCAAATTGTGATCATAGCTGTCATCCTGATTTTTCTCATAAATAAAAGCAGTCTACAGGCCTCCCTGTCTGTAAAAAACATTGCATTTTTTCATTCATAAATGGAGGTTCAAAACATTGAAATTCCTTATGCAATGTCTTGTGATAATTTAATTTTGTAAAAATTCAAAGCATTTTCCACACAGATCTGTATGGGTTTGGGTTGACCATGGCTGTGTTTGCTGTCAAGGAATTTACTAGCTCTCCTTGAAACCCATTGGTGCTAGAGAACATGTATTTTTGTTTGTTTTAAATTATGACTTAATACATGGTCCTTCCAGGGAGGATCTGTAGCTGAATAATTAGGGGTAAGACCACCCTTACTTCATGATATTTAAAATATTTAACTGGCTGAGGCACCAACCACTGAGACTGGCACTTCACAGCCAACCAGAAGGGGACTTCCAGCTTCTACATCCATAGGCCACACCAGGGCTTCCTGAATACAGACCCTGTATTTTCAGCCAACTCCCTAACTTTGTTAATGGCTTCTTGGAAGTGGCTAAGAACCTGGAAACTTTTTAATTATCCCATAATCATGTCTTATTTATAACTGCCTGGGTATCTACACATGGGGCCACTTTGGTCAAAAGGACCCAGTAATTGCATTCTAACTTCTAGAACTTGCTGACTTGCTGAGCTAAATACAGATTGTAGGGACCTGCTTGGGCTCCCTTGGGTTTGTCTACTCAGGGCCTGGTTTGGGGGGGGGGGGCAGCGCTGAGAGCCTCTTTCTTTAGCAGCCAGCATGGCCCTGTAATCCTACCTGCCATTTCTCCACATTCCTTTCAAACTCAGGCCCTGGCCATGGCAGACCAGTGCAGGTTCTCACAGATCACAGCACATCTCTGGCTTCTCCAGTCTGTGTGCTGCTCCACCTCATGGGACTGGAAAGACCCAACGAGGGACACTCACTCCCGCCAAGGCCTTCCCGTCTTGACCTCATGTGTCTGTTTCATGTCTGCAGCCACCCTCCTCCAGATGACTGACTTTTCTGACACTTTTCTTCTCTTTGGATCACAGGTGCACACATTCCGAGGCCCGCACTGGTGTGAATACTGTGCCAACTTCATGTGGGGGCTCATCGCCCAAGGGGTCCGGTGCTCAGGTAGACCTGAAACTTTCTGTGTCCTTTTCTATTTATACAAAGTGCCACCACGTTTGCTGGAGGGTAACTCCTGAGACAGCTGGGAAATAGGCCCAGATTAGCTCAAAAGTCTAGCCACCTGGAAGGTCTGAGGCATCTTTCTAGGTATTTGCTAGAATGGAAAGTATAGCTCACATTTATGCAAGAAAAGAAAAGATCCAAGCAAATACATTTCCATAGGCACCTACTTGTCTCCCAAAATAGGCAGTATTCCTTAAAAGAAAAAGAAATTAATTCCAATGGACTTGCATAGACAGAAAAGCCACATTTCCTTTCCATCCCCACTTTACTGCAGAAGAAAGGACATAAATATAATAACACTGTGAACACTGACCACATACCAGGCACCGAGCTCAGCATGTTCCATTGACCATGCCAATTGACCTCACCAGCAGACCTTGCGGGAGATGCAATTATTCCTCCCATTAAATAAATGAAGAAACTGAGGCTTACAGAGGATCATCCACTGCCTTTGGCCACATCGTAAGTGGTAGAACATTGACTGGACTCCAGAGCCCATGCATGGCGGTATTTTCCTGCCATCAGATAACAATGAAAGCTACACACCTTGATTTGCTGTCACCTATTTTCAAAGCATTTTGAAGCCCTGGGTGTTTTTCCACCTAGAACTGGATGCACACACCCATTGCTAACAGCACACAACACATCTTGTTAAGATGCATCTGACCAAAATAGCAAAGAATTGCCAAATGAATGTGTGATTGGGCTTCCTTCATCATCTTGCCATGCTTTTTCTGGCAAGCAGTTCTGGCTGGAAGCAAGAATGGCATCCCGTGATACATCAGTTGGGTGCCCACCAACACCATTCCTGATTTTTTCCTTGCTAGGGTATGATTCAAAAGCAGATGTCTTGTGAAGCATTTCAAATAAAATAAGCTAATGGCAATACGTTGCTGTGATCTGTTTTCCCATGCTGCCCATTTTGGTTCACTGGATCATGGGACCTTAAATCTCTTCTCTGCTCTAAAGGGAAAACCTTAGCTCCCACTGGGTAGCTACAGCAGTCACCCACCGGTGGGGAGGCCTGCAAGGTGCAAGCAGGTGCTGGTGTGGATCAGTTCATTAGCTCCGACTGCCCTCATGCCTCATCCACGAGACAAGCTCTAGATGAGACTCAAAGCAGTCCTCCCACAAACATTCCAGATACCCAGTGAACACAAAGGACTTGCTGACCAAGAGTTACAAAGTTACCTCCAGCTCAACCCCTGAGCAAAGCGAGTTGAAATCCTCTGTGGTCATTAGTTCAGCCTGCCTGATTACACCTGCCAAAAAATATCCCTAATTGTTGGCATTATCCAATTTCAGCAAGAAATTGGTCCAAAGTCAATATTATGAAAACAGAAGTCTGCGATTTGGATTAGCTATGAACAGTAACTTCTTCTGGGATTAAAGGGTTTGGGTTTTTTTAAATAAAACATGTTATGAGGCTAAGGCCTCCCATGTAGACTTGCATTTCCTCTGAGCAGCAGTAAGCCTGAAAACTGATCATCAAAGGTTAAAGGAATAATCACTGTCAACTCTCCATCTCTGACATATTTTAGACATATTTAAAAGAAACACACTTTGTAGCATATGGAATTGTATGAATTTGCAAAGCCTGAATATTCTTGTTATAAGACATCTTCATTTTAATAAAATATCAGTATTTAATTCAATGTAAATACACTGTTGCTTCGGATCTTAAAATGAAGTTTCTAAGGCATTTAAAATTGAATTCTTTATATAATCCAGCATTTTCACTTCTGTGTATGTACCCCAAAGAACTAAAAGTGGGCATTCAAACAGATATTTGCATGCCCATGTTTACAACAGCCTTTTCCACAGTAGCCCAGAGATGGACACAGCCCAGGTACCCACCGATGGGTGAGAGGAGAAACAAGATGTAGTATGTCCATATAATGGAGCATCAGGGGAAATTCCGTCAGATGTTATAATATGCATGAACCTTAAGGACATTATGCTGAGTGGAACAAATGAGTCAGAAAAGGTCAAATACTGTGTGATTCCACTGAAGTGAGATATCTAAATGGTCAGACTCAGAGAGAGAAGGTACAATGTGGTTACCAGGAGCTGGGGAAAGAAGGGCCCGGGAGTTAGTGTTTAATGGCTACAGAATTTCAGTTTTGGAAGAGGAAAAAAGCTTTGGGGTTTGAGGCTGGTGATGTTTGCACACAGCGTGAAGGTACTTAATACTGCCGAACTGTCCACTTAAAAATGGATGAAATGGTTGGTGACCATCCTGTTATGTGTATTTTACCCCAATTTTTTAAAGTTGTCTTAAAGGAAGTTTGTAGAAATATAGTAAAAAATAATGAGATCACATAAGAACAGCTAAGCAGGTATTGCTATACGCTCTATCACCGTGTTGGCTATTTCTCTGGATGAATTCTCCTGCGCTGTCCACCACACCTCAGACTTCACATACAGTAGCTTCCCCGGTCCTCACGATAACCCCAGGGGTGGGCGCCGTTCTTATCCTCGTTGTATAAAAGAGGGTCCGACTCTTGTTTTATAAGAAACGGGGTCCAAACAAGAAAACTGACCAATTCTATTTAGTTCGGTGGGCCCAAATTTATATCTACGAAATAGATCCACCAAAATGTTCCTGAAGTTGTTTTTGAGCTTTGGTGAAGTTCACATGCTGATAAAGCGAAGACTAATTAGAACTGGATTTTCCTGTGGAAGGAGGGATATACAGAGGGATACCAGCTATTACCGTCATATAGAAATCATCTGAGTTTCAAAAATCGGTTTTTGGTGATTTTACAAAAGTTTAGATCCTCTCACCTCTTCGGCGTGGTTAAGTGCTTTTTTATGAAGCAGCCAATTACAGTATCTATCGTGTGTACAGAATACATTAACGAGTGAGCCATATGTGGTTATTATTGGTATTCTCTATACAAAGAAGAACAAGGAACGTTAGAAGGCACTGTGAACAAGCAGCACATCAACTTCAAACAACTGCAGCATTAAATTTTTACCTCCTGGAACATAGACGGTGCCTTGTTACTGTGAGAGAAATTCCGTAGGCAGATCCCGACGGCCATCAGGGCTCCGCGGTGCTGACCATGTGTTCACTGAACCCCAGAGCACCTTTTCAGTGGTGGGCCTGGATCGGAGCTTTATAAATAATGACTTTAATCCTCACATTACATGGCATTGTTTGACATTGTAAACCCTCAGGAACTCCCACCGGTGTCCACTCACCAGTGGTTAGATATTATTTCTACTCACAGGTGTCAAAATAAGACAAGTAGAAGGAAAATGGTATGCCCTGAGTGTCCATGAGGAGGTGGGGAGAGGAATTGCAGGCCTCTTCCCAGGGAAGGGCAAGAAGAGGCTCATGGTCACAGGTCACCCAAGGGGAGAGATCTTGTCCCCCAGGAGAGAGCATCAAGGACTTAAGGGAAACAACCCAGCAAACATCCAATGTGACCTTTGTGAACCACGACTAGCTCTGGGAATCCACACCCAAAAGCCCACGTGTGGACGGAAAGGTTCCAGTCCCCAAAGGGGAAAAATTGTACCAACAACCTAGCTAATCACCAAAACCATGTCGGTGAGGTTTTGGCCCAGCATCGGAGAGAGCTTAATGAGGACAACACAACTGTGTAAATGTTGCTTGAGTAAAGACAGATGTCACACTCACCTTAGGGAGAGGAACCTCTCTGAGTGGGGAGAGGATGCTGCAGAGATATGGCAAACCCTTGGGTGTTTTCACTTCTATTTTTGGTGACGTATAGTTTGTGTTGGGCTTCGGCAAAAGGGCTGGGCGAGTCTAATGTGGCCTCTCTGTTTCTAGACTGTGGATTGAATGTGCACAAACAGTGTTCCAAGCACGTTCCCAACGACTGTCAGCCCGACCTCAAAAGGATCAAGAAGGTGTACTGCTGCGACCTCACAACCCTGGTGAAGGCTCACAACACTCAGAGGCCCATGGTGGTAGACATCTGCATCCGGGAAATTGAAGCAAGAGGTTTGGAAAAGACTCCCTAATGACCCTGATTTTATGTTTACAGTTGCCAAGGAAACTGGATGATAATTGCTGTATTTCCTTTCCACTATTGATGTTGGGAAAGTGGCCCGCACAGGCACACAAGCACGTGTGTGTGTGCACACCCACACGAACTAAATCACTTTCTGCTTCATGCATAAGCCATTCATGCATGCATTCAACACATGCTCACTAAGCATCCTCATGTGCCACACATTCAGAATATAAAAATCACGGTTCTCACCTTCAGGAAATTCACACTATAGTATGCAGAATCAGAGGAGCAAATAAGTAATGTGTGGGTGCATGTATTCAAACACGCTGCAGAGTTGCACAGGAAGAAATGTTCGCCTTCCCTGAGGACAATTCAGAAAGGGTTTATGGAAGAGAAGAGATTTAAATGGAGTCTTAAAAAGTGCTCCTATCAAGTAAGTAAAGAAATTGTGGGTCAGCAATGCATTTTCTACCATAGTATTGGTTCTCTTTATTTCAAGGAGGAGAGTTAAAAGATTAAAAATATCTATGCCTCAAAAGATCAAGGAGGCAATGAAGATAGAAACATTTCAAAGAAAAGGTTCTTTATGTTACATGTGAGTCATCTTTCCTTCCTTGGCGCTTGGTTTGGCCACTCTTCAGCCCTTACAGTATTAAAATGTTCAGAGATATGGTGGGTCAAGCCTGGCTGGGGAGAACTTGGGTCACTGCATATAACTTGGAAAATTGGACCATGTAAAAAGCCCAAAGGCCGTAACTGTTTTTACCATATATGTGCTCTGCTATAGTTGGGGCCCATTATCGCATCCAGATCGGCTTACTGTATTCTGCAGGTATTTACACCTTGGCCAACCCTCCCAATCTTTTTAAAACAAAACAGAAGGGGACATTTTAGCTTGGTATTCCAGGAATTTTAGAGACAGGAGATTATTCCCTTTTCCATGCGGGATGAAAGCTATAGTTATTCTGTTCCTTTAAAACTTGCTCCTTTAATCTCAGATGGTAAGAAATATGACTGCTGTGGCCATCAGTGCTTAGTGGATGCTTCGGGGTGTGGTGAGGTATTCATGCCAGGGCTGAGCTGGGTCAGAGCTGAGGAGGGGGCTCTGCCTCCGGATGAGAGGCCGAGGAAAGCAGCCCGAGGTCCTGCTGTTTAGAAGGCTCTGCAAGTTGGGGTCAGATCCCCAGGCTCTCCGGAGCTGGCAATCAAGGCCATGCTTCTCTGGAGAAGCTGGGATCTGGGATCGTCCCATAGTGTTCCTCATCATAGGCGACCAATAATCCGAGCAAAGGAACCACCATGTCTGCTGCCTAATGTGTCCACTGGGCAGAGCACTAAGCACAACGAGTCCAAGACCCATAATAGCACAAATTAGGCATGTGTGCCAGGGAGTCACAGCAAAGGGGTCGGAGCTGCAGGCATTAGCTCCACGTGAGTAGAACCAGAGACTGGGCTGGAAGAAAGGCACGTGACACTTCTATTCCCAGCTTGGTTGCCACCACTGCCAACCTCTTACCCACCTTCCGTCCATAGCAAATGCCTTCATGTTCTCCTCATGCTCTTTTATGGCCATCTGTTTTAGCATGAGGTGGAGAACGGAAAGATCGTGGACTTGACGTTAGGATCCGTGCCCTGTCTCGTAGTAGCTATCGTATGACCTTGGGCAAGTTCCTTACTGCACTTGAATACCTGTTTCCTCACCTACAAAGTGACCGGAATCACTCATACAACCTAAAGTGACTGGAGGATTAAATGAATTGATGCATATTAATGACCTAGTACAGGACCCAACATACAGGACTCAACCTGTTTTATTTCTTTTTGCCTTTTCTTGGAATGACCAGCTCCCCTAACCCCACCCCCAAACCTGTCTGTCTGACCAACTCACTCACCCCGTATGTTTTGGTGCTATCACCAGGATCCTGAATAATAGTGGCTTCAACAGGATAAAAATCTATTTCTTCCCCACGAACAGTCCAGGGCTGGAGGGGCAGCCCCCCGGGGGCTGGCTTCCCCAAGGCTGCCACGATCTCATCCACCTTCCAGCCAAGGGCAGAAAGGCATGCTCTCTCCCCTCAAGCACACAACCCAGGCCTGTCTGCTCACTTCTGATCTCTTCACATCACCAGAAATGAATGGCCATTGCAATAATGTTGTTCTAAAAATCAAAGGTTTTACTACAACAGAGGGATGGGGGAACCGATATTGGAAGGAGAGCCGGTAGCCCCTGCTGCTCCAGCAAACTCCATTCCTCCTTCATGACTTCCTTCCTAGACGGCTCCTCACTGAGACCTCCCCAGGGCCCCTTCTGCCAGCAGGCCGGGCTAGGGTTCACTGCACTGTGCTCCCACATGCCTCCACACGCTCCCCTCTGTTTGCAGTGCATGACAACCATACTGGGGGGGGGCGCTTACCTGCCCTACCAACCAGAGCAGGCTCACCCAAGGGCTCATGTTGTGAGCCAACTCTGTTGATCAGTGGCAGTGACCTGGACCACTGTACTGAGAGGAATCCTGGGGCTGAATGGGGCTGAGTGGGCCCAAGAGCAGCTAAGATCTGGTGAGAATGTCTCTGGTGGTCCCAGGACTGAAGAGGGGCAGCATTGTCTGCCTGCATTTGTTGTCTTGGATGCAGACCACAGACAGTCCCTCCTATGACAGACAGTACACCCGATAAAGGTCCGCCGAATGAAACACAGGAATGCGTGCTGGCCATGGGGAGTCGGATGCAACGTATGACCACAGCAGTTCAAGCTCTGCGTTTGCTTGTTTTGCTGTAGCTGCAGTTTGGCAGCTCGTTTTACATGCTGGGCCTCAAATCTAGTCCTCTATTCCTTCTGATACTTTTGGGACCCTGGTAGGCCTTTGGACATATTTTAATGAATCAGTAAAATCTAGCAGAAGCTACATCTTTTTCTTTTGTAGCAATCAAGTTTCCAGAATCACTCATTAGAATTTTATTTTCCTGCATCTCTTTCCTGAATCTGATCATTTATTTGAAGGTATGATAATCAAATCAATCATATTTAAACATTGAACATATTGTCATATTTATGATTAAACAAAAAGCTATACATTTGGATTTTTGTTTTTGTATTTTTCAGTTACAGTTGGCATTCAATATTATATTAGTCTCGGATGTATAGCACAGTGACTAGATATAATTTATAGCACAGTGACTTATATAATTTATGAAGTGACTCCGCCAATAGTCTAGTACCTCACCTGGCACCACAGATAGTAATGACAATATTATTGACTATACTCCTTAGGCTATACTTTACATCCCCGTGACCATTTTGGAATTGTAAAAGGCTATAAAATCGGGCTTGCTTCAACAAAATCAGAGTACTAAGTGTCGCACACGTGCACACACTGATGAGCGTGCCCGTGCCGTATGGCACATGGACTGAGAAGACGCTGGCGAGAAAGCAGGTAGCTTTCCGAAGCATGAAATCGCGGCCAGTAGTCTGAGGAGCCAAAAGCAGGAGGCTGATGAGAATCGTAAACACAGGCTCTTCCTGCCAAGCCAGGCAGGAAGAAGGCCAGGTCGCTGAGCTCCCCGCCGCCGCGCAGGCTAATGAAGACAGACGTGCTCGGAACCAGGGACGGACAAGTCCACGTTCTGATGTTACAGGGAGTGAGTAATAGAGGGGAGCGCTGGTGATGTCGGCTCATTTCCTGAGAACACACAGTGTAGATAGGAAATTAGTGTCCTTTTCAGATGTTCCAGGGAAATAAAATTAACGTCTCTCTGCTTTTTAACAGGATTAAAGTCAGAAGGTCTTTACAGAGTCTCCGGGTTCACCGAGCACATCGAGGACGTCAAAATGGCATTTGACAGAGGTGGGCTTACCCTTCCTTGAAGGCCAGGTGACTGAGCCTTCGTGCCCTCTCTTTTGGAGCCAGATGTTAATCCTGCTGGGCCCGAGGCTCAGGGCTACTGAGAGCTGTTCTTCAGGATGCCAAGGAATAATGGTTTACACATCTTCCAGTTCGCTTCCTCTTTGGGGAAGTTTTTTGGGTTTTTTTTAAAATGTGGACAAGTGACCACACAAGGAAATGAGTTTAAAATACTGCTTGAATGAATGGGCAGCCAGCATTTGGTGCATTAAGATTCTTGAATTGTGCTCTGGCTGGGTATCTCATTTAGTAAGGAGCTTTATGCCATTCATCAAAAGTTTGCAGGTTCGATCCCTGGTCAGGGCACATGCCTGGGTTGCAGGTTTGATCCCCGGTTAGGACTCATATAGGAGGCAACCAATTGATGGGTCGATGTTTCTCTCTCTCTCTCTCTCTCTCTCTCTCTCTCTCTCCCCCCTCACTCCCTTCCTCCCTCCCTCTCCCCCCCCCCGTGGTCCCCACTTCTCCTCTCTCTAAAATCAATAACCATATCCTCAGGCGAGAATTTTTTGTAATTATTTTTTTAATGATTCTTGAGTTAGTAGACCACCATTATGGTCAGTCCACATGGCACGGGGTGCCCTCTGTACCCCCCTCTCAGGGTCCCATTGACTCTCCTCCTTCCAAAGAGCCTGGGGAAGGGGGTGGGGTGCCCCATGCAGGGAAGTCAGGGGAGCCAGTAGAAGTTCAAGAGGTGACTCCTTTTGTTTTTTATGGCGATGTCGTTCACTCTCTAGGCCATATTATTTCTTGGGAGGTTGTTAAAAATACAGATTACTCTCTGGGCACCCACTCTGGGGACTCATTCAGAAAACTGGATGAGCCTAAAATTCTGTATTTCTAATGAATAATCCAATTCATACCAGTGCAGCCAGTCCAGGGACGGAACCCAAGCCCACCAGACAGAACCTCCACTCTCTAGGCTAGTAGATAAGGTCTCTGATGCTCTGGCTGCCTTCTCTGTTCAAGCTCATGGCCAGTTTCTCCTCCCTGCGTCCTTTAAGTCCCAGCAACACTGAAGTGCATCATACCAGTTCTTGTGAACAAGCACCTCGGCCCATGTGGCTCTGTCCATCTAGAATGTGTTCACTGCTCTGCCTGGCAAACACTCCCTGTTAATCAGGTGTCAGCTCAGCGTTCCTCTTTTACGAATCCTGCCCGATCACCCCAAGCCGACCCGAGAGTGCCATTCCCTTTCCTATGCCCCACCCCCATTTCCACATGTCTCCAACACTGCAGTCTTCCAATGTCCTCGTCATTGTTGAGTTGTGTGCCCGATTCCCAGTCTGACTGGAGCTCTTTAAAGGGAGTGTGCCTTTTCTTCTTTGACTCACTGGGGCTTAACACTGCCTGGCACATGGCAGACCCTCGATAACTGTTTGTTAAATATGTAAATGGGATCATATGGCATGTCTGCTGTACTCTTACGCTTTCTGTACATCAGATTTTTTATTCTCGGGACCAAATTGCCTGAGACATTTGTTCTCTCTTTCAATTTATAGAAGAAAATGTTAATAGTCCCTATGTGATAGAAACAAAAAAACATTATACTATGTGCCAATTAAATTGGACTGATATTTACTAATGGTAAAGTGAAAAGTCAAAAATGTCTTGAGAATGCCTGTAAAAATGGGTAAGGAATGTATCATTCAGTAACTGTACATGAGGAAAGGTCAGAGTTTCCCACATTAAAGTCTGAGGGGCCAGGGAGGAAGAACCAAGCTGAAGAAACTTCAGTAGGCCCGAAAGAAACAATGGAAACTGGGAGATATTCAACAATTATTATGTGTGTATCCTCTCCAAGTCCAAGTCCAAAGAACACGGGGGGACTATCTAACAGCCTCTTGATTATTTTATTACAAATTTAGTTGTTACTGTATTCTGTTGCGAATCCAGACACAATCCCAAGTATGTATTTTGTACTAAATTTCTATTTAGCACATTACCAGGGCCTAGGACCCAAAGAATCACTCGGAGTCTGTGTCACTACCCTTTTGGCTACACGGACCCTCCAACGCCAAAGCGCCCTCAGCAAACCTCTTTTTGTGACTTCCTGCATGTCAGTGGTGGCAGAAGCCATCAGCTGAGACGTGGAAGGGAGTGTTCATTGTCGGATTTTTTTTTCTTTCTGGGCATGCTTTAACGTGGTAAAATAAGGTCCTAATTAGGAGCTGGACCACTGGCTGTCTTTCAGATGGCGAGAAGGCAGACATATCTGCCAGCACCTACCCGGACATCAACATCATCACCGGAGCCCTCAAACTGTACTTCAGAGACCTGCCCATTCCCATCATCACCTACGACACCTATTCCAAATTCATAGCCGCTGCGAGTAAGTCTCGGGAACTAATGTTTTACCTGTATTACATTTTTAAGTACATCGCTTTTGAATGCAAGCAAATTAAAACCCAGACTTGTTTCAATTATTGCGTGAGCAGCTTGCTTTGCCAAGTGCAGGCACCATGGTGCTGTGAACAGAAAAGCAGGCCTTGTGCCCCCAGGATGTTGACCCAGTGCCAGGACAGCTCTGCTGAGGGGGCGCTGGAGGCCAGGCAGTTTTGTGTCTCCCTGTCCTTCCCTCTGGGCTGGGAACCAGCACGGACAGGCCTGCGCTGCTGTATGCGGAAGGCAAGAATGTTTCTGTCATGAAAACAAATTAGATGCTCTCGAAGGAGGACTGTAGGGATTCTCTGCACCATTCTTTAGGTAGCATCCTGTTGCCAATCTATTAAAGCTGTGCCCCAAGTTTGGCCCACGGGTGCTGTTCAAAGTTAATAACAGGCCAGGAATATACTGTGTCAAGTGCTATGCTAGGAACTCTCACAGATGTCTTCAGTTTTATCTACTTGCTGAAGAAAATGTTATTATAATCCCATTTCACAGAGGAGAGCGAGGCTCACAGGTCCAGGAACATCAGCCCCGGTCCTCCTCCAGCCCACAGCTGCTCATTCTGTGTTTGGCTCTCGGGCCCACTGTTGTCAAGAAAGAGGACCATAGTGGGGAAGGGGTGGGGCTAGGGAGAGTGCACTTGGCCTTGGAACATAGTGAGAAAGGGGTTCAGATGCAGGGGTGCATGACAGATGTCTAGCCCACTTTGAGGAAGTTTCATAAAAACATGATCTTGAAAGGTGTGTGTTACTAAATGTAGTAACGAGTCTGGGAAATGCGCAGACAGGCTGGGAGCTTTGCAGATACACTTTGCAAAAGAGCTGTGGCCCTGCCTCCTGGGAAAAGCATTCCTTTCCTTCCTGGGTCCTTGTGGTTCTGCATAGAGAAGGTTCCCGCTGCAGACGACCCTCCACCCCAGGAGGAATTATGAGAGAGCTCTCTTTGGGCGCCTTTCAGAGACCTAAACAGCAGAAGTCTGCATGGGCCCTGCCACGGTCCAGGTGCCTTGTACCTACTTCCCAACCTGGACCCTATACCAGGGTTAACCATGCAACGCTTTGGTGAAAAGTACCATTAATGCAGACTGACTTTGACTCATTGGCAGTGCCCTTGCCTTGGAAAGTTTTTTTACTCAGTTCTGGAAGCCTGTCAGCAGAGACTTATTAGACAACTTCAAGGAAATGTTCCTGACTGAGATCTGGTTTAAATGAAAGCTTATGATGGTGAGGTTTCTGGCACATCCACCACTGAGAAGCTGGCCAAAGCCCAGTTCCTGCATGTGCCACTGGTAAGCATGTGCAGGCTGCAGGCTCCTGGAGGGCGGGGACCGCGCCCAGCCTCCCACCACCCACCCAGTGGGGGCATTCAGTGTGCACATGGTTCCCAGGCTCACACTCCTTCTGGAGTGAGGCGGGATGCCAATTCATTACTAAGTGAAATGTTGCCTGAAATTGCATGAACTTACTAGATGTCCCCTCCATCTGTAGCCTAACCTCTTACTTCTCCATAAACTTGGATGCCACGAGGCTGCACTGATATTCCTGATGTGTGATCTTCCCAGAAATCTCCAGTGCCGATGAGAGGCTGGAAGCAGTCCATGAAGTGCTGATGCTGCTGCCTCCTGCCCACTATGAGACCCTCCGGTACCTGATGATCCACCTCAAGAAGTAAGCTCGCACCTCCTTGACATCTCCTCTGTGGCAAACCTGCTGCCCCCAGCAGGGAATGCTTTAGGAAAAGTTGCAACCTTCCTCCCCACCCTGTGGAGCAGACAGCCACTCCCTCACCGTGAACGAGGCCACCTTCTCCAGGCCAGCCCCATTCCCCACAGCTAGAACGTTCACTCCTGTGTTAGGGCCCTCATGCCACACGAGAGGTTGCCGATACTTAGGGACCTTAAACAGCTTAAACCAAGGACGCGAAGGGGCAAAGTGAGGCCAAGGTTGAAACCCAGGCAGTCTGAGCCAGGGCCCATCAGTGGATGCTGCCTCCACATCTGTACCACCTCCTCCCGCACCAGCCCAGGGCACAGTGTTCTGTTCTTTCACCGCTGCTCACTCCCCAGTCCCAGACTCCCGAGAATGCCTTCCCTCTGGGCAAGTGCATTCCCACCCTAACATCTTTTTTGTCTGTCACCAAGGAACGAATTGCCCCAAAGCTTAGCAGCTTCACACAATGAGCACTCATTATCTTATAGTCTCTGTGATCCAAAATCCAGAGGTGGCTCAGCTGGGTGCCTCTGGTTCAAGGACCAGCATGAGGTCGCAGTCAGACTGATAGCCAGGCTGCAGCCTCATCTGAAGGGTCGACTAGGGGAACAGCCACTTCCACGCTCACTCACGTGGTTGTTGGCAGGATCCGGTTCCTCCGAGGCTGTCAGACCGGTGTGGGGGGGTTCTCCCATTCTCGCCCACAATTCTTAGAAGTCACCCTCAGTTGCCTGCCATGTGGTGCTCCCTGCAGGCAACTCACAACACGGCAGATGGCTTCCCTCACAGCAAGCAAGCACGAGCACCCTATTGCTTTTGCTATATTCTACTTATTAGATGCAGGCCCTAGGCAAGGGGATACATAAGGGTATAAATTTCCAGGAGGCAGGGATCACTGGGGGGACATCTCAGATGGGGTGTCAGCCACAGAGGATTACAGAGAATAGCTGCATGAGAGCGCATGAGGCCAGTGGACATGTCTCAGTGTTTCAGGCCGCTAGCAGCTCCAGGTCCTGACCCAGGGACCTCTTCCGTTTACCGCACACATATAACAAGGTCAGTGCATTGGTCTTCGAGGCGTTGGGTGGGTCAGGGCACTTCTGTGCACCGCCTTCTATATTTTCACAAGATAAAACAGACTGAACGTTGTCTATAGGAACTGACCGTCAGATCCATTCAACCAGCGAAAGGAAGCAGGTCGAGAATGCTCTGTAAACACTAGTTTTCTTCCCTGCCCTTATACAACACAGAAATACTGTTGCTCGGATTCAAATTGGTTCCGCTTAGAAGATTTCTGTTTTGATTAATTTATTGAATTTAAGAAGACAAGTAATTTTTGGATAAGTAATAGACTGAATGTCAGCCTGATTTTTAATTAGCTATTAATTATTTATTTCAGTGTCCAGTAACTGTTGTAGTTTGGAAGGCAAAGTATCATTATCAGGAAAAAAAAACAGCTGGCATGTCCCAGAGGAATCTTAAATGCCAATGATCTAGCATTTTTATTTTGGAGGGTTTGCGAGCCCCACTCACAGGGTTTGGCCAGGTGTGGAACCTGACTTAATGGGGAGAGGTGAGCAGTTTTCGTGAAGAACGTCTATGTGAAGAATGTCTTCCTCCTTCACTGTACAACATGCAAATACGCCAACCGAATGGCACCTTCCTAAAACACTGCTAAATGGCTCATCTTAACGCTGAGAGACCTAAACATGTTTTACCGTATTTTTTTCTTCTTTAAAGAACCTGTTCCCTTTTAGATCTGTTATAAACATCCTAAAATCTACGTTTCTTAAAACAAGAATCTAGAAGACTGTAATTTTATTCCACTAGAAGGTATCTGGCCAACTTTAGAATCTGAATTTTATTCTTTAAGGCTTTGCCATTCTTATCTGAATGTTGAAATGATGATTTTCAATTCCGACAATAACTGCAGCTCCAGACCCCATTCATTCTATGGGAACTAGAAATAATGTCCAACTCCTTTCCTGTTTGGCCGCATGCCAGCCACCCCCCACCCTGTGATAACGGCCTGGCTGTCCCTAAACTGATGGCAGCCCCGTTCTACAAGAAACCTTTCTCGTTAGGCCGTGCTCCTGACAGCAGACAGGGAGTCTGCCCTCCGCTTCCAGAAGACCAGAAGGAAGCACCGAGCGTGAAAACGACTTCCTTCCCAGCCAGGACTAAACTCTCTGTGTGCTGTGGGCCTGCCCCTTCGGATCGATGTTCTCTCCATGAAAGTTTTATGTTTATTTGATGAGAAGGACTGATTTTCTCATTTTTAAGGTTGGGTTTATACCAGGTTCACTTTAGTAATTCACGTGCACTGGCTGAGACAATGTCCACAATCGAAAAAGAAAAATCAGAAAAGTATCTTTTTGAAAATACTTCTCTGTAATTCTGATTCTCAATTTTCTTTCACCATGTCCCAAACCAGAGAAGTTCTTATGGGCACAGGTCCATGTAATCAGCCTGTAAATTTGTCCCCAAGTCAATGTGATGTCTCTGTGTATATGTCTGTTTTGCAGGGTGACACAGAATGAAAAGGACAATTTCATGAATGCTGAAAACCTGGGCATCGTGTTTGGGCCCACCCTGATGAGGCCCCCCGAGGACAGCATGCTGACCACACTCCATGACATGCGGTACCAAAAGCTGATTGTGCAGATTTTAATAGAAAACGAAGATGTTTTGTTTTAATCCACCAGGGAAATGAGCCGAATAGCCTCCGCCCCACGGAAGTTCAGAAGGCTAAAGGAACACAACTTTTCTTGCACTTGATTTGTTTCCCAAACAAGTGACAGAATTTCCTGGACCACAGTGGATGGCCGAATCGCTACTGTGTCTCATAGACACTGGCCGCCTCCACATGGGGACAAGGGCGAGGGTAAGAGAGAGCTCCCCTGGGGTTTTGCTGTGCCTCGTATATATGTCTGTTTTGCTGGAAGAGTGATGAATAAATCTTTCTTTAACTTATTAAAAAAAACAGTGTAGACCTTTAAACTTCAGTCTTATCGGTAATAAAAGGGAACTTAATTCACAGAGGTACTTGATACAGTTATACATTTCCCACTTACAGGAAGAAGACAATTCTATATGTTCAATGTTAAATGAAACTTATATTGTAAAATGTATTTTTACTTTAGCTGCAAGAATGTTACTTTATTTTAGCAAATAGAGCTCAATGCAGCGCATTGATTATTGCCCTGTGTACCTTGTCCTGCCTTCTCGCTGTGGTCCCTGGAAGAGTTTACCACGAATGCAGTATTATCTTGACATACCTCTGTCCTGGTCAGTGCTTTTCCATGACGCTTCACCCGCCACCTGTGTCTCTGCTCTTGACAGATTTTGCTATCATGTGGTATATGTTTATAGCAATTGTAGAGTGGTCCGAGACGTCACAAATTTTCTTTCCACCAACATTTTGTAAAGTCCCGAAGTCTTTTGGGGATTGGTCACACTCTCTTCTTATTATGTGTGTATGTCCCAGAATATGCAGAATTCAGTCATTTTACATAAAATAATTTGGGAACACTGGCTGTATCTGGGTGGCATAAAAAGTTAGCATTTTTTTCTCTATTCTGTTGAACCAGGTTTTATTTTTTACACATTTCTGTATTTATAAAAAGCAAACATGCAGAATAATTGTTGGGTTTTTTTTCATTTTTGTTTTATAAACAAGCCTATTTTTAAAAGTAAGAATGAATAAGTTTGGTTTTGATGCATATGCATTCCTCTTTGATAAAAGCAGCTCTGTATGGATAATAATTTAATATGATTTTATTACTGCACTTCTGATCAGTTCTATTTATCTTAGCATGAGCTTTTCACACCAAGATTTCTATATTTTGTAACATAGGTAAAATATTTAAAACATCAAAAGCTGTAAATCTAGATTTCTTTTTCCTTCAGTCCAGCTGCAAGGTCTTCTCCCCCAACCGTCTGAGATGGTTTCTGTAACTACTCACTGGTCTTGTTTTGGAGTGACCGGAAGAAAAGTCCTGTGTGCCCCAGGGGTTGAAAGGAGGTGCAGCACAACTGTCCTGAGGGTCCCAGGGCTCTGCGGATGGACTCCATGGGCACGTGGGGGTCAAGGTGCTTCTGCCCAGTCTCTGCTGAGGGCTCCTCCCAGCTGTACAGGTTTGTTTGTTGTAGTTCGAGTACTTCTTGATACTGTCAAAAATTATCTGGAAATGGTTTTATTTTGTGAAGTGAACAATACTTTGTAATTTATGATAGTGTAAATGGAAGGAAAAGCATTAAATGTATTAAATTCTTCTGTCTATCATTTTGGAGTACGCATGAGAAATCGGTGGTGGGCAGTGGCGGGGGTAAAGGTTGTGAGGGTGATCTGAGAATGTTGCTCCCAGATGAATTTTGGCAATAAGGTGTCCATTCTCACCCAAACACGGGGAGAATACAAATATCCCAATGAGTCCCCAGCTCGCTGCCCCACTCCCTCCGCCCACTTCCTCCAGCAGAGATGGCCTACCTGCACTTCCTGTACCACCTGTCACATTTATGTCGTTCACTGAGAGATTTTGAGCAAATCACTCTAGGCCACTTGCAGGAGAACAGAACAAAAGTTTTAGAGCTAGAAAGACTCAAGTTTGAACCCCAGCTCTGTCTGTTAGCCATTGCATGCATATGACCTTGGAAATATATTTGCTCATCTGGAAAACCAGAGCAAATATTCTGGTTGTGATGTCTTAGAGGACATGATGATCTAAAGTAATGGGAAATGGTTATTTCTTATTGTTATCACTCATTTTAAGAGTGATGGCTTAGAAGGAGAAAGGATATATACCATGGGGGTGGGGAAGGAAGAAGCACAAGACCACAAGGATTTGCCCCCGGGGTAAATCTGAGTCCAGGTAATTACAGGGGTATTGTAACAGGGCTCTAGCACGCCTAATGAGGTTCACCTGACTCCTGTTCTCGAGCACAATGACAACACTTGATCCCCTCTCGCTTGCCTTAGTCTCCAGCCCATTTCCCCAGGGTCACCTCTCCATCCCCTGGCAGCCTGGTATGGCTCCTCTTACCTGGCTTGAAATTCCTGCCATTGGAATAACTCTCGTCATTAGACCTGAAGGCAGTCAGCACTGTTTGCAGGCTCCCTCTGTTCAAGTGCCCACCAGCGGAATGGGGGAGGCCCACGGGGGCAGGTATTGTAGGTATAAGGCCTTTGTCAGATATGTGGTTTGCAAATATTTCCTCCTAGTCAGTAGCTTGTTTTCTTCAGAGCAATAGTTGTGTTATATTTTTGATGAAGTTCGACCTAATAATTTTTTCTTGTATGCATTGTGGTTTTAGCCATGTCTAAGAATCCTTCACCTTAGTCCTGGGCCCTGAAGACATTCTCTATTTTATTTATTCACTCTCTGTTTTTTAATTTTACATTTAAAATCCACAATCCATTTTTAATTACGTACAGTAGATTATGTGTTGAGCTCAAGGTTACTTTGTGCCTGGTGGAGATCACATTGTTTTGGGGGAGGCAAAGGGATGCAGGAATACGGGTGAAAGGAGCTCCTGGGAGGACAGCTGTGTGCCAGGCACAGAGCCCCTGCCGTCCAGACTGGAACTGCAGCACAGAAGTGACAACCACGTCAAGGCCCATGCCTTCTGCTGCTGCACCATCAGTGTGAGCCACCAAAAATGTGCTCACTCACTGGGAAGGAGGAGATGCAAAATCCCCCACCAGGTGTCCCCAGGAGGAGGCAGTGCAGCAGGGCAGAGAGAGACCTGCACATATTGAAGAAGAGGTCCAGGAGTGATAATTTTAGGAAAACCGAAATGCAACCCATATATTCCTAATGTGATTGGACTTACAAAGAGTGTACCAAGAAGCCATTGGAAGGTGTAGAAAGAATTAGAAATAAGAACACAGGTAAGCAAATTAAAAGTGGACCATTATTACCTGCAGGAAAAGACAAAAAAAAGAAGAAAGCAAAAATAATTATTCATTCACTACAATGCTTAGCCCAAACAATATTGACATAGGCATAATAATATAAACACAGAATGGTCGACTAAACACAGGCCGTAACGAAACACTAGTGGGAGTACCGAGGAAGCAAAGCAGAAGGTGGGGGGTACAGAACTAAATCGGCAGATACAATAATGGGAAGTTAACAGAGAATGTCTTATATTAATAAATCAAAAGAAAGTGTGATACACATACTATTTAGAATTCTGGAGTTGCATTAATGCCAAGAATAAAAAAGCAAAATTGTTGAAAGTGGTTGGGGAGGACTGAAGGGAGGAATATGGTAAGAAACCTCTGTAATTTGCTGGGAGCCCTGTAATAACATTTGACTTTTAAACTACATGCATATATTTTTAAAATAAAATAGAAACTAATTTGGAAGGAGGAGGGGGGCCCTATTGTCTCGGACAGCCGAGACATGTTGCTCCTGTATTTCCCTCCTTCAGTTATCACTCAGGGGTACAGGATACAGGTTATATATTAAGGTTCCAGGAACTAATGGGACAGCGCACATTAAACATTATTTCTTGGCTTGTGCCTGCGCCACAGTCTGGTAGTGACCTTACTTCCAAGGATTTTGTCTTATGATTTGTTAATCCTTTCTGGTAACATTGCATTCAAGCTTAACTGAGCATACTTCCTCCTCTAACGAGAGGTAATGCAATTTCAGTGCCACAAGAATAAAGTGCATTCTTGACTCACATACAGAAAACTTCTGCTTGATTCAGTCTGATCATGAAGTGTGTCCCCGAGAAAAGTTGGATTCATAGCAAACTGTCACATGTGAAATGGTCTAGTATATTTTTACATCACAGTCTTAGGTGACTAAAACCCGGATTTAACCAACAATAGCGACAGGGATCTTGAAGACCCTCTACCATTACTTTCAAAAATCACTTGCATGTGACTGATTTATGGAGTTCACAGAATTATCCCACCCATCCAATGAAAGACATTAGTCAAGGACAGACGAATATTTAATGAGTGCCTATTATGTGTCAGGCATGGGGCTAGGGGCTTTAATGAATGTATTGTCTACTTCAACCTTGGCAACCACCCACAGACGTAGATAGTATTTTCCTCACTTTACATTTAATGAAACCAGAGCCTAAAGCTATTAAGTAATTTCCCAAAGCCAAACAGTAATTCAAACCAACCATCAAGTCTTTTCACAAGAAATGTATATAATTACAATTCCCGGCATTAATTCAAGCTTCGACTGCCCTGTGATTTCACAGGGCTTTCCTGTGGGGCGGGGCAGGGGGAGGTTTTGTTTCATGGACGCACAGGGGCGAGTCGCCCCTTACTGCTTCACCCTTCGGCAACCACACACGAGGTGGCATTGTTCTAAGGGGGAACCTTGGGGAACAATGAGCTGATTAGTTTTTAGACTGTGACTTCCCCTTTTGATGTAATAGCCTTGATACCAACAAACATTTGGTGATCTAATGATTAACTAACAACCAATGTGCGATTCAAGCAGCAATATTAGAAGGACACTGTGTTAGAGACGGAGTAACTCGAACCTAATCAAAATAACTCCACCTCCAGGTCTCATGACCTTGAGGAAATGGTTCAAACTTTCTAAGAGAAAAGTGTAGGATTTATAGTGTCTACCTCTCTGGTTGCTCTACCATTACAAAACAGGAAAGGACCTTTCTTTAGAGGAAGCCCATAATAAACTGAGAAGTCCCTGGTAAGAAATTTTATTTTATCGTTACTGTAAAAAGTGTTATAGCCACAGCAGAAGTCGTTTCTCTGACTATGTAAACAAAATCACATTAAGCGAATCAACCCGAACGTTCCCTGACAGTGTACAGTGAGAGACTGACCTGTGTTCACACTGATTCGAGCTGTCTCCAAACTCGGGTGCATGTCCCTCGGCAGCTGGTGATGCAGGACAGCAGCTATTTCTTATAGATTTCAAACTATGTAAGTTTGACATTGGCCTCGATGTAGGTGAGGGACCCAAAGACTCACTTCCTGCATCATGTTACCCTACCATCAGGTATCCGCCTTCTGCCAGAACTTGTGGGATAATGAGCTCACACGTCGACAATGCGCAAATGAGAAAAATGTAACCTGGCAAATGGAGCAGAACCGAGCCACCCCTTTGAAAAGGGAAATTAACAGCTGCAGATGGCAGGTCACCTTTGAAAGGAGCTAGTTTACCCCAGCCCCGACCTGGAACCAGGTGACGAGCCAGAGCACATTACCTTGGATGGTTAACGAATGACTTCTATATACATCAATGATTTTCTAACAAACAAGAAAGTTGAATTATCTTTGTTTCCTGAGAAAGTCAGGATGTGCTGTGGAGGCTCTTTTTTTTTTTAATCCTCACCCAAGGATATG